CCGCCATGTCTTTTGAACATCCATCCACCTCATTGACCTCTTCCTAGTAACGGATGGCGCACTGGCAGAGGGTTTCCCCTTCCTTCCGTCTAAGTGTCAACAAGGATCCAATATCCTTGAGCTGCTTACTCCCTATAATGAACCGGGCTGAGAACTGTCTGGTTAATTCCTTCCATGACCCAATGATGTTGGGAGGGAGAGTCTCGAACCACTTCATAGCGGAGTCTCCCAAACTCTTGGAGAACACCCGACATAGAAGTCGTTGGTCTAAGTGGTATAGGGATAGCATTTGCTTGTATTGTCTGAGGTGAGCTTCAAGATCAGATCATCCATCATAAGTTTTGAACCTTGGCACCGTAAACTTTTTGGGTAACTCAATCTCTCGGATATCCCTGGTTTCATCATCTGCGTCGTCCTGGACAGCCTTATTCCTTCTTCTGGAGTCCAATTGAGCTCTGAGGTCAGTTTTCAACTTAGGGGGAGACCCTCCAAGGTCTCTCTGTTGGTTGATGGGGTGCCCCCTCAATCTAAAGTCCAAAAGTCCAACAAGAGTCAATGTAAGTAAAAGAGCAATTATCGAGATAGTCATTACTCTAAGATAGTGCCCCTCCCCAATAGTAGCTATCCTCCCCGATAAATTAGTAGTTTGACCTTCACGTTACCGCCACATTTAGGGTTCTGTGCCTATAAATTATAAATCTCACTACATATGGGGGCAGATCATACACACCTCATATTGATCATACTCTTGCGCTCTCTCTCTCTTGCTCCCTCTCTCTCTCTACTAATATGTACTCTCTCATTAATAGAGTTCTGTAGTCACCGTTGTCGCCTTCAGCGGTTAGGTTTCTAAATTCAACCACCCAATTTTTGTCTCTTATTATTAACTGTTTCATTAATTTTTTACACCATACACTCGACTGATTTGATTATGCATAAATTCACTGCATCATCAATTTCTACCGTGATAATAATGTGTTTAACATTTATTTTTATTAGGCTCATCACTCAACAACGACATATTTCACTAGTTCAATCGGAGAAGATAATGTTAGAAGATTGTAAAAAGATGATGTGTAATGATTGAAATGTGCCCATTTGGATTTTCAAGGGCTGACAATTCTTGCCATCTTAATGTACTGGGTGAACTTTGCTACCCTTTGGTTGTCTTGTGATTAAGATTGTTCTTTGCTACCCATTGTTAGTATTTTTTTTGCTTGTTGGATAATTGGTTAATACCAATGTATTTAGGGCAAGAGGATATTTCTATATTTGGACTGAAATGTGTTGATATAACATATGGAACAAGAGCCACATGTAAAAGGACTTGCATAAGGGACTTAAGGAACAAGAGCCAGCAGAATTATGTTAACAGCAGCTTTGTTTGGGTAAATCCAACTGTATTCTGTTCTTCTTCATGTACATAAGAATCCATCTTATTATTCTAGTGTACCTAAAGTTTAAAATTTTGTTTCAATACATTATTTCGGTCACTTTAAAAAAAGAAACGTTTCGACCTATTTTAAAAATAAAATAAAAACGAATAAAAAATTTGATAACTATTTTTTAGAGCATTGTTTGAAGTATACCAAAATATTTTGAAATATTCTTAAACAGTTGTGTACATGTGTCGAAATAATAAGAAACACCCCGAAATATTATGAAACACCTCGAAGTATTATAATTTAAATTCTATCACTCATTCGTTTCGGTCTCCTTAAAAACGAAAACAAAAATGTTTTGACTTACAAAATAAAATTTAATACTTGAGTGCACGCAATTGGGCAAAGATGATATTGCACCAACCACATGTATATTGTCAATCTTCACACCATGCCAAAGCATTTGCCTAAATAGATTCAATGTTTCCTTAGGATTTCCACGCTGAACATAGCCATCTATCACAATGCTCCAAGAAACCACATTTTTCTCCTCCATCTATTTTAAGGGTAGGTATTGCACAAAATGCAAATCTTCCATTCAAACCATTCAAATTCACATTACATCATTGACAATTAAAGTTCAAGTTATTTAACTTAACAACAAATTACACCGACATAAATATGTTAGTCAAGATATTTTACGTTACATTCAAAGCATGACTTGAATCACAGGATTCGTCTCTCAACCTTAGCAAACTCACGTTCCGAATGTTATTGAGAGCGAATTTGACAACAATCTGCAAACTCAAAATAATAAATTCGCAAATTTTGTAATCCAATATTCGTGTACTTGTTCAGTATTTAACTTCGCAGCACAACAATGCAAAAATATTTATAACAACCATCCCCATTTTTCATAGCCTACCGATGTGGGACGGCTGCTACAGTATTTATAGGCAGTGTTTTAAAACCCGGCCCGGCCTGATGGGTCAACCCGGTGAACCGGTCTCCTAACCGGATCGGGTTTATTTAAAGACCATTTGTGTAAGGAACTCGGAATAAACCCGTTGAACCGGTCAAAATCGGCAAACCCGTGAGAACTGGATGATTTGACTAAACCGGCCGGGTTTTTTTATTTAGTATAAAAACTAATTTTGGGGGCACTTTTGGGCATTTTTGTCATTCAGCCCTAATCCCTCCTTCCCGTCCCCGTTCCCCAGCCAGACCCCTGTTCACGAAGAAACGAACAGCCTCTCTCTCTCTCTCTCACACACACACACACATCAGTCTCTCTCTGCCTTTGGTCTCTGCTTCACCTTCATTGCAAGCTCGAAGACTCGAATCGAATGAGAAGGAACTTTCAATCCCTAACCTTTTTCACAGTGATTTCGATTTTCGAAGGAGAAAGCTACTTCACCTTCAACAGATCGACGATGACCACCAAGCACCGCAACAGGGATACAAACTGTCTACTGACTCTACTCTCTCTCTCTCTCGATATATATATATATATATATATATATATATATATATATATATTTGTGGGTTGCATTTTTTTTTGTGGGTTACAATATTGTTGGGATGTTATTGATTTAAGAAATTTTTATGCTTGAAATATGGGGACTTTGTTGCAGTCTTTGTTCTTGAATTTCAATTTGTATATTTTTTTTGGTCTGGCTTATTGTGTGTTCATGTATATATAAATGTAGGAAGAGTAATTTATTTTTGTTTAATTTTCTTTTCTTAGTTTGAGTCACTGAGGGCTTGAAATCTGTTGAGATTTAACTCGATTTAAATCCACTAACAAAAACACACAATCGAAGAACAAATCAAGAATATAAAACAATAAGAAACAAGAAAGAACAAAACACAGATTTTACGTAGTTCGGCAATTTGCCTACGTCCACGAAGCTGCAGGGATTTCACTATTGAGAGAGTTGAATTACAGAGAGCAGCTTACAATCCACAACTAACCCTAATCACCAAAACAACAGGGTTTATATGTCCTACGCACTGGGCTGTATAACGGGCCAAAAAATTTTCCTCCACGGGGCTTGTCCATGAGCGTTACAACTTGGGCCTATCAGCCCAAGCCTCGCTCCATGGATTAAGCCTCAGAAAATTTTTCATTAAAAATCACACAACATTACTTCGGGTCGAATTATCATTCGGATTACATATACAAACTAAACTCCATAAAAAAAACCAACAAAATCTTGTTTGTATTAGGAATTTTTCGATTTTCAGCTATGGTGAAGGAGGCCGAATATTATGACATATTGGGAATTGATACGGATGCATCTCCAGCGGAGATTTATCCATCCCTTTATTCATACAATCTAACAATGCACGCCAATATCATCTGGGATTGGACTTATATACTGAAAGCAATTTTATGTGTGTATGATTTTTTTATGCTGCGAAATGAGATGAGGTTGGATTTATTGCTTTGTGTATCAGTATTTAACTTTACATGTTTGTTGTTATTATCATAATTATTGTGATTTTTTAGTCTATTAATTATTATTTATAATTATTATTTATTTATTTATTATATAACCGGTTCGATCAATAACTCAACGGTTGAACCATTGACCCATTAATCCTGTCCTTCCGCCGGATTGATGTCCGGGCCGGGTTTTAAAACTATGTTTATAGGTGTAAAATTATTTAAGTTGTTGATAGGTCACCAATGTGGGATGAGTTATTTTGCTCTAAAATTTCGTTGTGCTTTCTTTTTTTTCTTTATCACTAATAAGTAGTTTTTTTTCATTTATAGTTCTTTGACATTCTCTATTTTTTTTTTGTGTGTATATAAATTTAACACTCTGTGTAATGCTCTCGCTCTTAACTTGTTATAAAATTTGACGCTCTTGCGCTCCCACACATGTTCTATGTGATCTAGAGCACGACAAAGACAACCTAAATAGTTTTAATGAATCAATCTAATTATTGCATGTGACTCATTTAAGCTTCAAGCTTCACTAGCCTATTGCTTTCAATGGTATTCATGAGAGGAGTCGCATATTAAACTTAAAAATGCACCGTATCTTGATTGTTTAATACTCGTACATAGTCATCACCTCAATTAATGAAGCTATTAAACGGATTAAACAAATTATATTGATTAATCTGTTTAATAAACGAATTATATTCAATTTATATATTTCACCAATTTAATTAAATGAATTGTGCGTGAGTTAAATAATTTTTTAACACAAATCCAATTAGACTCGGTAGAAAGCCGCCTAACTCAACAAGAATGACACCCCCGGTAAGAATAGCCTCACCCAAAAGAATTTCACTTATTCCCGGTCGAAATTCATAAAATTTTTAAATGGTGTGCTCGAGTGGGAGGAGATCCGGATACCCAATAATCACATAGTCGGATCAAAATTGAAATGGAGAGAATCTGAAGCGTGGGGATTCGGATCCTCATTGTCACAAAGTCGGACCTTTTGAGATTCGGGTCTAAGTTCTTCTAGGGCTTTCTTTTGGTTTCCCTCACACTCACCGACTGCATACCTCCCACACACAAGCACGCCGAAACGGTGAAAAGCGTCTAGGGTTCACTTCTCTCTCTTCCCATTTCTATCGAGCTGGTTGATCGAAGAGAAGATGGCTTTCGGAATGCAGCCATATGGGATTCTGGGAATGCTCAAGGAAGGGTACAAGCACCTGTCTGGGCTCGACGAAGCTGTTATCAAGAACATCGAAGCCTGCAAACAACTCTCCATGATCACCAGAACTTCTCTCGGTCCCAATGGTACTTTGTATCTATCTTGGTCTCTCCATATATGTTTCTGTATCAGTTTTTTTAATAAGATCTCATGGTAAGTACTGGTTAGTCTCTTCAATATTAAGCATTTTCTCTCTATCTTGTTTAATTGATTCGATGGATTGTTGAGGAACATTGCTGGTTTGCCTTTACGTAACCGAGTGTGAGAAATTTATGGTTAAAATCAAGTTGTTTAGATTGCTAGCTACTGCTTATACTTAAACTTTCTTTTACGCCTATGTTGGAATCTAGTATACTTAAATCACCTTTATGCTAGACTAAAAGGATTGTGAATATCTCGTGAATCAGAATTCACCATAGTCCTATCCAAACGAGGAATAAAAGTTTGAGAAACATATGCTTTGCATCTGTAAGTTACTGATGGTATGTTTTGTGAATCTGAGTGTAACATGATTACGAACGAGAGCAAAAACTTAAGGGATATCTGTGGAGTTAAAACTTCACTCTGTTGTCATTATTATGTGGGTAGTTTGTTAACTACTGCCTTTTGCTTTTTAATAACTCCGCAGATTGACTGTTTGGCGGATACCTTTATTTTTTTCATTGACCTTTTCAAAGTTCGATTGTATTGTTATGTCCAGGTCTGGCAAAGCCTTTTGATTCTGAATGTATTGTTGTTTTCAGGTATGAATAAAATGGTTATCAATCATCTGGACAAGCTTTTCGTAACAAATGATGCTGCCACTATTGTGAATGAACTTGAAGTTCAACACCCTGCTGCCAAGCTTTTGGTTTTGGCAGGCAAGGCGCAGCAGGCAGAAATCGGTGATGGAGCTAATCTAACTGTTTCGTTTGCTGGGGAGCTTCTCCTAAATGCTGAGGAGCTGATTAGGATGGGCCTGCATCCTAGTGAGATCATCATTGGCTACACAAAAGCGATAATAAGGTTGGTAAACGTTGTACTAAGTGGCTCAGTTTACTAGCAATTGTATTTTTAGGGAAAAAGGAGAAATAATTGTTGTAATTTTATTTTACACATGGTGGTAGACAATCAGTATCTTAGATGAATTGGTTGAGAAGGGTTCTGAAATATGGATGTGAGAAATAAGGATGAAGTTATACTACGAATGAAAGCTGCTGTTGCTAGTAAGCAATTTGGACAGGAGGATATTCTGTGCCCTCTAATTGCGGAGGTAGTTCTTTTTTGTCTATCCTTTTTGTTTTATTTTGTTGCCAATATCGTCAATTGTTTGCAGTGTATGACTTTTTGACTTTTTTGCACTATAGGCATGCATACAAGTGTGCCCCAAAAACCCAACAAACTTTAATGTGGATAATGTCCGTGTTGCTAAGCTTTTGGGTGGAGGTTTACATAATTGTACAATAGTCAGAGGTATGGTCTTGAAAACTGATGCTGTTGGGAGTACAAAGAGAATAGAGAAGGCAAAGGTGAGACTTTACCTTTTTCGTTAATCACAAAATAAATCATTGTCTTTATCTCTGGACTTTAAACATTCATCTGCTTGGTTTTCTGCACAGTTTTCTATTGTGTACTGATTTGCATTTCATAGATTGTATTGAGTGTCAAAGTGGATATTTCCTTGTTCTGGTAGTCTCAATCTGAGGTTCAACGGTATCTGCTCTCGAAAACATACAACCAATAGACATTTGGTGGAGATTGTGCTTCTTACCTTTCATTTGGAAAACTCTTGATTGTGTATTATATGATGTATGTTGTTTTCATTAATGCAACCACCAAAGATTTTGATTATCTAAATAATTTGATGCAATTACTTGAATAGATCTGTTACACTGGTTGCTTGATATATTCAACAATTGTGTTACATTATGAAAAAAAGAGAGAACCTTGAGTTTTTAAAGGTTTTTGTACCTCCTAATTTCTGTAGAGATCACTCTGTTA